GAGGGCTTATGATAAAATTAACAGCAGGCAGCCAGGCCCTCTACACTTGATTCTTGGGGCCTGAGGTCTAAGTAATGACTCCACGAGGCGTGAATTGAGCACTCCACTCACCGTTCAGACTGGCGCCGGCCCTGTGGTCTGAGGCTGGGCCCGGCGCAGGAACGGCTGGGCTGAAACACAGCAGAATGCAGCGGCCTCCTGCCTAGAACCGTGATTTTTCAACCCAGGTGCCGCAAGAATTGTTAAAACCTGCCTGACTACTTAGGGACACAGACCTCTTTTCCTTAGATTGTCAAATAAAAAAATGACAACAGCCAACACAACAGTAGCCGTCTGGTGTGAGTGATCAAAATTACACCTCTTTTATTCTTCATATCAGCAAAATGTATATTTTTTGGCGTGCCGCAGACTTTTACTAATTAGTTCACGTGCCCTGAGATGAGGAAGGTTGAAACGGCTGATCTAGTAGCGCGTTCGAATAGCCGTTCCCCCTGCTCGGTGGACGAAGAACGCCCTGTGCGCCCACTAGCTGGTATTGTTAGCTTGTTCCTGGAACTGAAATTAGCCAGCGTGTTGCTCCTTGCTCCGGAACCCTTGGCTTCTGCAACCGCCCCCCCCACACAGCTTTTGTGGGGCTCTGGGCTTGTCTCCCCCCGGGCATCCCCTCTGAGCCCAGTGTTGCCGCTTCCTTCCTGCCATGAAGGACAGGAAGGCCCGGGCGCCTTGGGCAGGGACTTTCTGGGAGCAAAGGGAAGAGAGGGGGCCTAGAGGCAGCCAGGCGGGCGTTGGTTTGTGTGTCCATCGGGCTGGCAGGTCTGCGTGTCCGTGTCTTGGGTCTTTCCCACACCGTGGGCGTGACCATCACAGACACGTTTCAGATGAGGCCCGAGATGTAGGGGCGAGGTACCTGCTCACGATGCCATAACGGGTGTCACAGGCAGGAACTGGACCAGATGGCTTCATGCCAGAGCCCACCTGCTCATCCCTGTCCCTGCACGGCCACCTGGGGGCTGGGGAGCCCCGGGCCCTGCCCTGGGACGTGGGGTCAGAGGGTGTGGGGTGGCAGGTGGCTCTAGAATTTGCCTGTCTGGGTGGGAATCTTCACAACAGTCTCGGAGAAGGCAGCTGCTTTATTCGTTGTCTATCACTTCTGTCCGCAGAGCTGTTAGTCGCTGCTACACATGCTCCCTGAGTGCCACACTCGTTCATGTAGAACAGCTTAAAATTGTTTTCTCCGACTCATTTAATTTCATAGAACCAAGAATTGTTGCAATCCATGAACATATTTAAAAGTGTTATAGCAAGAAAACAAAGTATGGAAAGGCATTTCAATCCCTTTGAAAGTTATTTTTGTGGGCGGGAGGATGCTGGCCGTCCAGGCTGGGCGCTGTGTTCACCATAAGCGAGGCTGAAGCCTGCGGAGTTCCTCCCGCGGCGGGCGCGCCGGGCCTTCACTGGCCTGGTCCCTCGCCCCTGCCCCCTCCTCAGGCGCCCTGTCCCTCGGGGCCTCCTCCGCAGCCCGTCCTTCCCGAGCCCCTTCCCCGAAGCCGCGTGGGCCGGGCGCCCTGTCCGCGGTGGGAAGGTGGGTGGGAAAAGCCACGCGCCCACATGTTCCCGAGAATCAGGTTAGAGGGGAGCTGGGGGATGTAACATTTAACTGTGAACTTGTCTCTCAAGACTCCTGGAAACGCCTTTGCAGAGAGTTAGGCCGAGCGACTCCGCTGGAAGGTCCCCCTTGGAGGCGGGAGGCGGTTTTTCTGAGATGGGCCCTCAGCGCGGGTCCCCGGGGCCTGGCTGGCGGGCCTTCCGGGGCGCAGGCGTGGCCAGAACAGGCCGACGGTCTGATCAATGTCAGAATGTCCCGTGGCTTCGGCCGGGGCCTGGCCAGGTCAGGAAACGTTCCGTGGCTCCGTCCGCTGGACTTGAACAGAACGAGGGGCCCGTGTGCTGCGGCTGGAGGGGGCGAGCGCTGGGGGGTGGGTCGCGGTCCCTGCGCCCGGGCTCCTCCACCCCTGTCAACTCGGCCCTGCCCCTCACGCCCTCCCTGCCG